GGAGCGGCTGCTGCAGGCTGGCGTGCTCCACCTGGCACCTGTAGCTCTCCCCGCGCTCAGGGCTGGTCTCCAGCATCACCAGCACCTGGTACGTCCAGTCTCCGTTCTGGATCACGTCCGTGGACACCACGCGCTCCGTCTCCTCCTGCTCGTCCTTGAACCATTTCACCTCGATCTCCGGCGGGTAGAAATCCATCACGGCACAAACCAGCCTGTCGGTCTGGGGCAGGGAGCCCGACTGCACGGGGAAGATTTCCACCTCGGGCTGGACTGGGGAGGGGGAGAGAGCTGGGATGGGGCTGGGGAGCACAGGGGACACCCCTCACAATGTCCCTGTGGTCCCCAGGCAGGAGGAACCCAGAGAGAGCCGGGGGACACCTCCCACCGTGTTCTTGAGGTCCCCAGGCACCAGGTACCCAGGAGGGTCTGGGGACGCCCCACACCATGACCCTGAGGTCCCCAGGAAGGAGGAGCCCAGGGGGGGTCTAGGGACACCCCACACCATGCCCCTGAGGTCCACGGGCAGGAGGTGCCCACGGAGTGTCGGGGACTCGTCTCCTCACGGGTGGGCACAGGGGGTCCCCAAGGCCCTGCCCGGACACGCTGTCCCCTCCTGCCAGCCCGGGCTGGGCTGGTGCCCGTCCCCAGGGACACCTTCTGCCGCCCCTCACCTCTCCTCTCCACGGTGAAAGGGGTCACCATCCCGTAGTTGTAGCGGCAGTACGTGTCCACATCAGTCCACCTCTGCTCCAGTATGTCGGGCTGGCTGTTCCAGTAGTCGGCCTGGCGCTGTCCCCAGGGGGTGTCGCCCACATATTTCCCCACGTCACTGTCGAAGTGCAGGTCCTGCTGCCGGTTGTGGATGTTCCTCATCACAAGCCTCACCCGCTCGGTGCCGTTCAGGAACTGACACTCAGCCTTCATCATCTGCAGGAAAACCCCTGTGTCAGGGGGGGTCAGGTCAGGGGGGGCCCCGGATCCCCCTCCCCGGGTGCTCTGGGGATCAGGCGGGGTTGAGGGGAGCATCACCCCAAACTCTGC